AGATTAAGGAGTTTCATTGCATGTTTACTTTTCATAAATTTAAGGGCTTTGGAGAAAGAAAGACACTCGTTATGAAATGCATAGAATCTACGCTTTACATTTCCATATCTACATTTGTGAATGTAAAATTTAGCTACAATGATTATGTTATTTACCAGAAAGTCCCATTCAGTGTTATCTAATATGGCACAGTAAATGACATCGTTCTCAGAAAAGGGTTCAATACGTATCTTTGTGTATAGCCAGTCATGGATATCATTCCAGAGAGCTTCAGAGTAAATGCATTGAAAAAATAAATGAACAGAGGTTTCTATATCATCACAAAATACACATTTATTTGTTTCAAAACCACATCTCTGTTGTAAGAATTCCCAGATGGGTATACGTCATTCAAAACTCTATAATGGATTTCTTTGGCTTTTGGAGTTATAGGAAATTTGAGGTATTTAGAACGTAATGAGTATATAATATCTATGGAGAAAATTTGTTTAATGGAATTTCTGAAAGACAGTGAAGGGTGTGAAATGTCGATATCAAGCATTTTTCTAATTGTTTTATTAGGAGTTTTAACACTCTTGAAGTGGAAGTTCCCAGCTACTAGATAAGGAAGAGTAGGGGAGACTGAATGAGAGTTCGAAACAATTTCTTGAATTAGATTTAATGTAGGAATAGGGATGGCTCTTATTATGGAAGCGAATGAATTCTGATGTGATATTATATTTATGACAGAAATTTTCATGGGTCATCACACGCCCAACTTTATCAGTTAAATGAACTAGGGACCAAATGCCTTTGTCCATCCAGTCCTTCTTATATAATGATTTATTTTTAATTGTAATTATCTATTGTTCCAAATCGGCGTGTTGTGTGGAGTGAAATTATGATTGTATAAAAGGCTTAGACCCACCTACAAGCTTACTGATTGGCTCTACCGCATCATACTGACGTGTGATTGGTTGTCCCTGCTGTCGCTCTACCTTGTAGCCATGCAGTGCGTTTACATGCAGCCAGTAACCCTTTTAAAACCCGAATATTCACAATAACCCGGTTCCGCAGGTCCTTTTAAACACCGCCAAAAACCCGGATATGCTCATAACCGGGTTTTTAAAAACCCGGTTACTACACCTGGGGTAACCCTTTTCTAACCCGAATGTTTGGTCGTGTAAACGCATATCGGGATATCCCCATCAAAGCGTGTGTTCTGCGCATGCTCTGTTCGCAAGGAATCTTGGTCTTTTGAGTAGCGAGACGTCTTGTATGTGCCAGAACACCGGAAGTAAACAACAAGTTGGGAGCAAAATGGCGAGTCACGGCACAGCACCACACTTTTGGAGTGACGAAAAAACTACAGCGCAAAGACACGGGGTCGCTATCTCTTCCGAACTGGGAAACATGTTGTTTTCACGGATACTGGAACAAGAAGAACCGGAAATGACGCAAATTGCGTCTGGACATAGTCCATACGTCCTGACGCTACCCCAACGTCCGTTGTTGTATAAGTCACTCCGGAGTATAAGTAGCAGGACCGGCCAGACTATAAAAAAAAAGTGCAATTTATAGTCCGGAAAATACGGTAGTTATTAGTATTTGAGATAAATTAGCAGCCTAAATACATTTCGTATATTTCCAAAACGTAATACTTGTTTGTATCTTGTACAGCCAAGTATTCTTTATTCTGGACTCAGAACAATTCACCAAAAGTAAAGAGACATTATACAGATGAAGTAAGCACAAGATAACTTACTGGAAGAAATGGAATTATCATGAGAACCAGAACAAGACAGCCTGATAACAGTCATATGAAAATAACAGTTAAAAAGTATGTATGTATAATAGAAATAAAAATATATTAGAATTAGTGTAACTCACTGTGATCCAAACAACAAATCAGCCATAGCTGATTAGCAATCATGAAATGAGGTCTGGGGGTTTTTAAGTTTCATTCTTTTATTACATTTTTTTTTAGATCTGTTAAAAGGTCACCATGGCAGCCTGTGTCTCCAACATCAGCTACACAATGCAGCAAGTGTAAGTTCCAAATACATGTCTTGACCACTTCATGTATGGTTTTGTACTTTAAACAGCTAGGCCAAACCTGTTCTTTTTTTTCTCCATAGCCATTTGGATCATCGGTGACAGCTGAGTGAGGCGTGGTGCCCAGAGAGCTGCAGAGACCCTCTGAGACAACCTTGGCCTCCCTGATGTCCGTGTCTCCTGGTTCGAACTGAGGTGGAAAGACCTTCTCCCCTTCTTTTTCAACTCCATGCATGGAAGAGCAGCTCCTGATGTCCTTCTCATCCACTGTGGCGGCAGTGACATGGGGGTGGTCAGCAGTGTGAATCTGGTGAACATGAAGGAGGACCTGCACCGGCATCACCTTCTACACCCTCATATCACACTGTTGAGAACTGTTCTTCCTTCACAACCCAATGTTCCACTCACTCTGCAGCTCTCTGGTCCCCTTTTATTATTTTAAGTATTTTTTAAATGTCCCGACACTTGTGTCCTGTTATTTTATAAAATGTGATGTAAAAAAATAAATGTTTTTGCTCAATTACTGGAATGTCTTTGGTTAAGACAAAAAAGGAAGAATCATTTATGCCAAGTTGTTTCTACAACAGGCCTGTTTTAAGTCCCAACAGTTTCTTAGCAGCCAATAGAAATGTGTTCTTTACTAATTTTACTCGCATGATGCCCAGATTACCTATAAAAATCACTACAGCTATGTAACACCACACATGATGCCCAGATTATAGAAATGTGTTCTTTACTAACTTTACTTGGTTTAAAAATCTTACTAAAATAAACTGAGTGCTGTATTTCAAAACCCAATCATACTTGTTATGTAAATATTAGCTTTGTAGATATTTTTTACAGATAGATATTTGTGTGCTAAAAAAATCATAAACTTAAATAATTTGTCATTCTTTATTGAAAAACAACAAAATACAGGAATACAGAAAGTGTGGGAAAATGATAATGTGAAAGTATTGCTCTTTAAATGTAATACTATTTATCTTTAAAAAGAAAAACTCAAAAAAATGTCCTGTACAGCAACATGACAGAAGAATGGTGGTCTGTCTGTCAGAATGTGCTGAACAGATTTGCTCTATCAAGAGGAGCGTTTTGTGTAAGAGTTTATGTTATTGTAATATTGGTTTGGGTTGTGTATCTGTGACACGATCCAGGTGGAATGGAAGGTGCCACTAAAATTAAAAGGATTAAAATAGGTTCTAAAAAACAAGGCAAGCAGTGCGACAGCCAAAGCAAATTAAAAAGGGACATTTATTACAAAACCCTGATGATCCAATCCAATCCAGTTTTATTTATAAAGCACTTTAAAAGACCCAGCACAGGAACAAAGTGCTGTACAGAAAATACATTAAAACAATTGACTAAACAGAAAACAGCAAAGATAAATAAAACACATGATACATAAAATTAAACTAGCCCTATATTAAAAAATAAAAACTTGATAAAACCACATTGAATCACCTAAAACAGCTAAAATAAAATAAAAAATAGAAACCAACATCTCACAAGGTATTAAAAGCCAGGGTAAAGAGGTGTGTTTTCAGGAGTGCCTTAAAAACAGATAAGGAACTGGCCTGTTTTATCTCTAAAGGAAGTTCGTTCCACAGTTTCGGAGCTGCCACAGTTTCGGAGCTGCAACAGCAAAAGTGCGATCTCCTCTAAATTTACGCTCAGTCCTGGGTACAATCAGGAGCAGCTGATCAGCAGACCTGAGAGAGCGGGAGGGAGTGTAAGGCTATATCAGATCAGAGAGATAAGAGGGGGCGAGGCCATGAAGACCTTTAAAAGCAAATAAAAGAATTTTAAAATGAATCCTAAAAGAAATGGGCAGCCTGTGAAGTGAAACTAAAACAGGGGAAATGTGCTCAAACTTTCGAGTGCCAGTTAAAAGACGAGCTGCGGCATTTTGCACCCTTTGTAGGTGACTAATACATGATGCACTGACCCCAATGTAGAGTGCGTTACAGTACAGCGTCAGATGATGACGCCAAGGAAAAAAAAAAGAGTTCAATCGAGTGTGCGCAGGGCCCCAAGGGACAAGGCGGTCCAGTCCGGCCCTGCTGAGCTCTCGACCAAGGAACCTCCAAGGTCGTCTGGGAACCACAGGATCGCCGCACGGCGGATCCAATCCGCCTCCTCCTCAGCCCGGCCCCTGTGGCACACAACAACTCATTTACATTTGATAGCGAAGGAATAAAATAAATACATTTAAACTTATTCACCAGGTGAATCAGCTCGCATGTCACCACCAAGAGTCACAGGTCCACATTCAGTAGCCTCCTGGATGAAATCAGTATGCTCTAGATGCCACTGCCAGCTCACTGTTGGAATTAACAGCTTTGCCTGATGTCGATAGAATATCTGCTTGGACAGTCCCTGCACATTGAAGGCACCCAGGAACTAAAATATGAAAAGTTACGTCATGAAATGAGAGATGCACAGACCTTATCAAAACTAACCTAAACATTTTTGGCCTATACCTTAGAAATCTGGCTAAATGATGAGCCAGACTTTCTGGAAGATGAATTTTCATCATGGTCCCTGTGTCACAAGACACACAGCAGCTGGGAGCTCTAAACTTGGTGCCTATATAAAAAACAAAGAAACAGCACATTTATAAATGTTGAAAAGAGCATAAAATCACGTGTAACAATAATCTGCAAAACAAATTAAAACTAGAAGGTAATAATAAAATGTTTACATAGTAAACATATTAAAAATAATTCACTTTATAACATTCCTAGTGTGTGATCGTTATTATAACATAAAAGTCAGTCACATATGATGTGGAGAGCCTGAAATGCGACCTCCTGAACAGAATTCCTTACAGAACCGGGTCACGCTGTGCTGGATTTCACGCTGTAATGATGTCTCAACTAGTGCTGTGTTAGTTAGTCACTGTTGCAGAATCGACTGACACAAAAACAACCCGAAGTTTCTCCGAGCCTGACAGGAATAGTCATGTGGACTGTTTCGTCGGCCAGGGCTTCGAGATATGTTCCGATTCGGTCAGCCCCGTCCGAGAGCTCCACGAGCGGTCAGCCCCGTCTGAGAGCTCCACGAGCGGTCAGCCCCGTCTGAGAGCTCCACGAGCGGTCAGCCCCATCCGAGAGCTCCACTAGCGGTCAGCCCCGTCCGAGAGCTCCACTAGCGGTCAGCCCCGTCCGAGAGCTCCACGAGCGGTCAGCCCCGTCCGAGAGCTCCACAAGCGGTCAGCCCGCGCAGCAGCAGTGTCCCTCCAAGAGCTCCATCATATTTCAACCCATTTTTATGTTAAATGCACTGGGTTTTACCCTTTTACCCATCGACATATGCCCAATTAATTATTTTACCATATTTTACATCTAAATTTCATGGTTAAACAGTACATGCTACATGTTAAAATGATAGTTAGCTAACTACTTCGATAAACTCAGCTAGTTTAAAGGCGGCAGTGACCTAAAATACATACATGTGACCAGTGGCGGAGCTTGATATGTGCAACATGTGCGGCCGAACAGGGCGGCAGTCTGCAGGGGGCGGCATTTAATTTCCTTTTTTTTTTTTTTCTAAATTTTTTTTAAATTTGATGCATCAACCAATACATAAACAAAACATAGAAATTGCATGTTCTTAATAATAATAGTGATGATAATAATAATATTTCTGTAATAAAAGCACAACAAAGTGTAACCCATATCAACTACTCCCTGTCACATGACCCACGTCAGCTGATGGGGGACGTCACAGGGGGATCTCGCACAGGGCGCCATTTAGGCAGCTCCGCCTCTGCATGTGACAGACACTGTCACCTTTTGGCCACAAGAGGCCCTCGGTACTCTGCCTGCACAGCTGCGGGCTGTCAGACTAAAGCTGGGCGACTGTGAGACTTTTTCACTCGTAGCACTCAGCTTCAGCTCAAAGTGTACGACTTCCTCGCAGGGCAGATCTCACGAGTCACGCGCTCACACTGCACGACCCAGTTCTCGGATGCGATCTGACTGCTCACACTGTACGTCTGGTAGCAACACGTCGGCCCTAAAAATATGCTAAAAGTAGCAGTTTTTACTCAACACGTCAGACTTTTTTGTCTTGTTTTGCCTGTTGTCCTTCGGGAGTGCTGCAGGAGGACACACAGGGATTTATGGGGGTTGGATGAGGAAAACGAAATAAAGAAAGTAAATCTGTGTTTTGTGATCAGTTTAATTTGACATGAACACGACAAACACGCTTTCTTGACAATCTTTGTGAGTAAAAAACGTGTATAAATAAAAACGAACAACGTGTGTTATTAGGGAAATAGCGAGCTAGCGGTGTTGATGCAGGATTGTGCATGCGCCGTGAGCGATTCTGATACATTTTGGGTCGCAGCTGCTCGCAGCGCTGCTTCAACAGTGCAATACCCTCACGAGGGACGAGCAAAATATTAAACACGCCAGAAGTCCGTGCGAGCTCACGATTGCTGATCGGTAGTTGGTCACGTGGTGTTAATCGCCTCTCGTAACCCCCTGTACACTACACGACGCTCGGCGCAAAACTCGCCCCGATCTCGTGGATTCTCGCATGACTGGAAAATCGGCTAAAAAAAGTGAAAAAGTCGCACAGTGTACGCCCGGCTCAATTGTGTCTCCCTGTTAAAAGGGAGCTCTGCCTGTCATTCTGGGAGAGATATCAGATGGGTATGGAAGCCCATTCCCGCCACTCAGATTTAAGAAAAAATTATTATCTCATAATTATGACTTAGCTATCTCATAATAATGAGATACTATCTCATTATTATGAGATACTATCTCATTATTATGACTTAATATCTCATAATTATGAAATACTATCTCATTATTATGACTTAGCTATCTCATAATTATGACTTAGCTATCTCATAATTATGAAATACTATCTAATTATTATGACTTAGTATCTCATTATTATGACTTAGTATCTCAATATTATGACTTAGTATCTCATAATTATGACTTAATATCTCATAATTATGACTTAGCTATCTCATAATTATGAGATAAATTCTGCTGGCCTCCACGGACTTTCGTTTTTGCACTTCCGTATTTTTCAACCTGCAGCACACAACTTTGTTCGCGCTGAGTGGTCAGAATGGCTATTTGTACACGGTTGCTGCAAGACCTCCCAAGAATAATGGTTAACGATGTACACCGAATCTTTCTTGCCTCGTCCCAAATGCCAAAATCTAGTATGGACAAAGCTTGTATTGTATGTGCCCAGCTACACACACAGCTATGAAGGTAAGCTAACAAACTTCTGCTCTGAGTTACTAAAGATGCTACATGCTAGCTCTCCACTAGCCTAAGTTAACACAACAAGGAAACGTTATTGGAGTGATAAGTAAGGTCATGCGTGTTTTTCGTGTCTGAAATGAAAGAAAAAACAGTTCATATGTTATTTTCAGTTTTAATCAAGCAGTCAGGAGAGGTCACGGTTAGGTCCGAGTGTTTCAGGTCAATGAGGAAAAACCAGAAGCCCCACTGAGTGTAGGGAACCGTTGCCCTGCAGGTTCAGTGCAGGATTGATTCAGGTTCAAAAGAAGACTGTTCATGTTTTTAAACGTCACATTTTTGCGAGTCATTTCATTGCTTTTAGTTTGATAACAGGTTAATGACATCCCTGAACTACATGTCATGTGGTATCAGAGATAAAATGTGTCCCAGAAAAAATATAGTAAGTAAAGTTTGTATACATAGCATGTCACAGAAAGTCAAACATTAGATGACTCGCAGAAGCACAACATTGTTTACAGTTATTTTATTTTTTTCCATTACTTGTTCTACTCTTCTATTTTAAAATGAGCTAAGTGAAATTAATCATCAATGTTTGTCTCTCTTTAAATGCAGTTGTACTCTAACAAATATTCTGTGTTGTAACAGATTGTGCTAAGGGATTCAAAGCCATTGGGGGTGCCAGTGTATGTGTGGCAGGTGCAGCCATGTGATGTCATGTGGCAGCTCAACTCTACCAGATGGCACATTTCTCCCAGCTGAAACTTACATCGGTGCCCCCCCCCCCCCCCCCCCCAGTGTTGAGCTGCACAGAAACCGAACAACAGTGGCACAAAACGGGGACCAAGGTTACAATCTTTTAATTATACTATTATTATGTGTATACATATTTCTGTTATAACCTTTAAACTTGTTTTATTTGGAAACAAGGTATTAAACCAGGTCCAGTTAATGACATGGTCATCATATCAGCCAGACCAAGAGAGAGGAGACCGGTAGAATGAACAAGGTATGTTTTTCTTTCTGGACTGCACGCACGCACACACACACACACCCCATTTGACTTTTGTTTTTCTTCCCCAGAAGCAGTTTGTAAAAAGGAGTCAGCTTCCCTGATGACAGACAGCTTCGTTTGGTTCGGTGCAGGAGGGAAGCGGGCCATCTTACCAACTACCAGTGAGGACGGCCCCCAGGACACGTCCACACAAAGACAATCCTTCTCTCCCACAACTGTCACTCTCTCATTACAGACTGGGACCCTCTGCATGTGCATTTGTGTTTACTGAACATCATCATTTCACATCCCATTGGGGAAATCATACAAAGCTGAGAACAGAACACAATCGCAGAGTTTCTGTGTGGAGGGGCACCAACTAAGGAGATGCCACATCACTTCTACAAAATTTAGATAAGTGTGTCAAACCAGGGCAGAAGGTTCTGCTGAGAACCTTGTGAAACAGCCTATGGGAACAAGTAGTCAGACTGATGACATATGTTGGGGTCTTGCTTTGGAGCCTACAGCCATCAAGGAGTACTACAAGGTAATAGAGGTAAACCACTACCCTTGTGGGGTCCTGATCCACCCTGAGGCACCATGGATGGGTTCAACACCAGATGGGTTAATGTTTGACCCTGAGGGCAGCCTGAGTGTGGCCTGTTGGAAATAAAATGCCTAAATGTGTGTAGCTTTGTGGACTATTATGCTCAGAAAAGGTTTACTCTCTGTTGCAATCTCATCCTCATTACTGGCAGGTCGGGGGACAAATGTTGATTTCTCCATGTGAGTGGTGTGACTTTGTTGTTTACACCGCAGATGACATGTTTATTCAGCGAGTTCCCCGTGACATGGAAGTCATACAGACACTTGTAATGTTTTCATTGCTGTTTAAATGTAAAGACTTACAGTGGAGGAAATTCAATGTAAATCTGCAGTAAAATTAAATATTTCTGCATTTTCTTGTTTGTGATGTTTAGTTTGCTAGATGAGTAATCATTTTAAATGGTTTCTGTTTAGTTTCAAAAGATAAGATTTAAATTAAATGAATTAAAGACGACTAAACAAAAAACCGATGACATTTTATTTACCAAAGAAGTATTTGAAACTATAAACTATAAACTTTCAATTTCTTTTTTTATTACAAAACCATTTTACACATACAAATACACATTTAAGCATGACATAGGGGTTTTTAAAATTTTTAAGAACTCTTATCAATTGAGAAATTAATCATAACTTACTTTGTGGCAGAGGTTTTGTAAAGGTACCGCATCTCAAGCCCTCAGCAAGGCACAGCACCGTTGAAGATCATCTGAGCGAAAGCTTTAAATGCAGTACCTTTATGGAAGTGTGTAAATATACAGTGTGGTTGCCCTACATGACTCGAGGTGCTCAGACATCAGGCTCCTTTGTAGGAGTGACTTGTAGGAGGAAAACACCTCACTCTGGAGGAGGGGAAGATGGACATTGACACATGAGCTCAGTGCAGTCAAAAATGACTGTGGTGTCTGGGTAGTCCTAAAGCCCCTCCCCTATTTAAAGTGGGGTTTTCACGTTTTTACATAGCTTCTTTTACTCCTCTCTCAAATCATCTATCTTCTCTGTCCAGAATGTGGACTTTGTCATCTTCAAAGGTGTGTCCCTTGTCCTTCAGGTGAAGGTGGACTGCAGAGTCCTGACCTGAAGAGGTGGTTCTCCTATGCTGTGTTATGTTCTTGTGTAATTGTTGTTTAGTTTCTCT